GGCCATGCTGGTGAGGACCCTCTGGGGACACCCAGGGACACTCGGGCTGGACACACACAGTGCCACCTGGGCCTGAAATGTTCCCTCTGTGTCCCCTAATCCCGGTGTCGCCATCATCCCCCGTGTCCCCTGCAGGTGTGGGACGTGTCCACCGAGACCTGTGTGCAGCTGCAGTGGTTTGGGGGTGGCGGTGTCACCTACTTGGCCTGGTCCCCCGACGGCAGCAAGGTGCTGGCAGCCACCCCCTCGGCCGTGTTCCGGTGAGCTCCTCATGCCCATCCTCATCCTCGCTCCAGAAAATCTGGATCCCAAACATCCCCCCAGCTCCTGCTCCTGCTCCTGCTGTGGGGGCAGAGTGGGGAGTGGCTGGGGGACAGGGTTGGACACTCTGGATTCCCAGAGCAGCAGGATTGGGGCAGATTCCCAGGAATTCTGCTCCCTAAAGCCTTCTGCATCCCCTGCAGGGTGTGGGAGGCCCAGATGTGGACCTGTGAGCGCTGGCCCACCATCAGGGGACGCTGCCAGGTAGGGTGGGATATTCCCCTCCCAGGGAATCATTGAGGCTGGAAAAGCCTTCTAGGACCACCCAGGCCAAGCCCTGGCACTGCCAAGGCCACCACTGACCCCTGTCCCCAAGTGCCACATCCTCAGGGCTTTTCAATCCCTCCAGGAATGGGGACTCCACCCCTGCCTTGGGCAGCCAGCCCAAGAAATTGTGGAAATTTTCCCTGATTGTGTGGAAATCTTCTGAACCTCTCCTGGCACAGCCTGAGGCCATGTCCTCTTGTCCCTTGGCTGTCCCCTGCCATCAGGGACTTGTGGAGTGAAAAGTCCCTCCTGAGCCTCCTTTTCTGCAGTCTGAGACACACCAGACAGGGTGGCAGTGTCCCACAGACAGGTGACAGGGTGACACTGTCCCCAGACAGGGTGGCAGTGTCCCACAGGCAGGTGACAGGGTGACACTGTCCCCAGACAGGGTGGCAGTGTCCCACAGGCAGGTGACAGGGTGACACTGTCCCCAGACAGGGTGGCAATGTCCCACAGGCAGGTGACAGGGTGACAGTGTCCCACAGACAGGTGACAGGGTGGCAGTGTCCCCAGACAGGGTGGCAGTGTCCCACAGGCAGGTGACAGAGTGGCAGTGTCCCACAGGGATGACAGGGTGACACTGTCCCCAGACAGGGTGCTGGAGCCCCGATGGCAGCCGGCTGCTCTTCACCGTGCTGGGCGAGTCCGTCATCTACTCCTTGTCCTTCTCCGAGTACCGGGGTGAGTTTGTCCCATCTGGAGCTTCCCAGATGTCCCCACAGCTTTGGGGTGAGGAGCTGGGACACACAGGGAGTGTGTTGGAGTCTCCAAGCATGGAATCTCTGGAATTCAGGTTTTTCCATCCCTCCTGCTCCTCAGTCACAGTTGTGGGGTCTTGAAGGGATTTCAGGGAGACTCCGGTGGCTCCAGAGCCAGCTTGGGGGTCCTGGTGTTTGCTGTCCTTGTCCTCCATCCCTGTCACTCCTGGGACACCAGCACAGCTGCTCTGAGAAAGAAATAAATGCACGATCATCCGGGGAATGCAGTGGGCTGATGGAGTGTGGGTTTGTCCCGTGCAGGGGAGATGCAGGGGCAGGTGGGAGGCTCCAAGACAGCCTCGATCGTGGCAGACCTGTCCGAGACCACCTTCGAGACCCTCTACGGGGAGGAGAGGTGGGTCTGGCTGGGGGCACAGGGGGGTCCCTGCTCCTCCTGGCAGCCACCCCTGGCTGCTGAGCACACCTGGGGGTCTCTGCCCCCAATTTTGGGACTTGTGCTGTTGCAGGATTGGAGGAGAGGTTCATTCCATGGTGTGGGACCCCACCGGGGAGAGGCTGGCTGTGATCATCAGAGGTCAGTCCTGCCCCGTTCCCTGCTTGGCCTGGGGCTGCTGCTGCCCTGGGAGAAGGGACNGTGGTGCTGCAGGGACGCTGAGGGTCCCTTTGGCCTTTGCCAGGGCTGCAGTGGCTGCAGACGGGCTCGAGCCACGCTCTGGCTGTGTGCCGCTGGCTGTCCTCGCTGCACGGATCCCTGTTCCCACACCTGTCCGTGAGTCATTCCGCCTGATCCCTGCTGCTGCGGGAGCCAGGGGCAAGGGGAGCAGCCATTCGGGATGCGGGGTGGTCCCTTCCCCACTAACCCCCCCCAAAATGCTCCTCCTGATGGTGCCCCGCTCCAGACACTGCTCCTTCCTCCACTGGTGGAAAATGGACACTGGGAAGGTGTTTGGTGCTCCAAGAGGGGCCCAGATCCAGGTGGGGGAGAGGGAGAAAGGGCTGGGAACTGGGGGTCCCTGATGCCAGCTGGGTGTTCTCCTGTCCCTGCAGCTGACCAGTGAGGACATGATCGCAGCCTTCTCCCAGGCCGTGGACTGGTGAGTCCTGGGTGTCCCGAAATCACCGTGCCAGGGTGGGAGTACAAGGACAGGATGGCCCCGTTTGGGTGGGCCCAGCAATTAAAGGCAAACATTGCCCCACTGGCTCTGGCTGCCCTGCTTTGTGTGCCCTGGGTGGAGAGATATCAGGGTTAAAGGAGATCAGAGCCTGGAAAATTCCTTCCAGTTCCAACCCCAGCCCCTCAGCAGAGCCCTGTGAATAATTCCCAGAAACAGGGAATTTCTCAAAGAAAACGGTCCTGTTGGGCAGCATCAAGGAAGTTTTTATTTCTCTGAGAACTCTGAGCGGGGTCTTTGCCAGCCCAGTGGGTGCTGGGGGGGGTCTCACCCTGCCCTGTGCCCCCTCCAGGGCCGGCTGCACCATCAGGGCCTTCGCCTGGCACCCCCACACCAACAAATTTGCTGTGGCTCTTCTGGACGATTCCATCCGTGTCTACAACTCCAACAGGTGGGACTTTGTCTGGGATTTGGGCAGCCTGGGGTTGGCACTGCCCTGGGGCTGCTGCCCGTGGCCCACCTGGCATACCTGGGCTCTCATTCAGCCCCCCTGCTCCTTCCTCGCTCTGCCCCGAGCCTCAAGAGCTTTGCCTTTCCTTTCCCTGCCTGCTCTGTGCCTCTGGGGACATCCCGGGGGTCACCCAGCGCTGGGGGTGGTGACAGAGCTGGGGGGACACGGGCTGAGTGTCCTCTGTCCCCCAGGTGTCCCTGCTCCCCCAGGGAATGCCAGTCCCTGCTCAGGAGAAGACTCTGCCGGCTGCTCCTGCAGCCCCCCCGGGTGTCCCCAGGCTGGGCCCTGGCCGGACTGGGGACACCTCGGCTCAGTCACACCAGGTGTGTGACACCTGGCTCGCTCCGGTGTCACCTGGCTGGGAATCGCTGTCCCCTCCCCGGCAGGGCACAGCCCCTCCCACCCTGCTGTCCCCCCTCACTGCGCTCAGGGCTGGCAGGGGACACTGTGGCTGCACCAGGGCTCTGTGCCCCACAGCTGTGTCACCTGTCCCCTCCCCGCAGTGCCACCGTGCCCTCGCTGAAGCACCGCCTGCAGAGGAACGTGGCTGCCATGGCCTGGAAGCCTCTCTGTGCCTCCATCCTGGCCGTGGCCTGCCAGAGCTGCGTGCTCGTGTGGCACCTGGACCCCACCTCCCTCTCCACCAGGTGAGAGCTCCCACCTTCCCTTCCCGGCCATTGTCACCCCGCTGGGGCT